TGAGGTGTAGCCTGATGTGGCTCCCATCGTACTGAAAGACCGCATCCCAAAAATAATGTCGAGCACCCCGAAAAGTGTCGAGAGAGTGTCGAGAGAGTGTCGGAGGAGTGTCTCGCAGAGGAGTGTCTCGCAGGGCCGGACACGTGAAAACCCTCGAGTTTCGGTACTTTTTCGGTGCTCGAAATTCTTGCTGGTGATCAAGGCTGAAAAAGGTTGGAGTATCTTACGTGTAGTCGATAGCTTCTGGCCATGAGTCCTCAGGAGCCCCCCAAAAAAAGGTGGGTGCCCGGGGAGGCGAGAGGTCGAGAGGTCCCGAGCTCTCCCCGGGAGGACGCGCGCGGCACCCCTCTCGGCCCCGTCGCTCGGCGGTGGGCCACAGCAAGATGCAGCAGCTCCGCGCCCCCCGAGGCCACGATGGCGATGGCGATAGCGATGACGATGACGAGGACGCACAGCAGCACACGAGCGACGAGAAGGAGTGGGTCTTATACGCACGAGGACGCAACGAAACCTTGCGTGGTAGCTTGCGCGGGCCGCCGGCACGACACGGCACGGCACGGCGATGACCATGACGATGAAGATGGCGATGGCGATGGCGATGGCGATGACGATGACGCACAGCTGAGTATCGTTCAACCGATCCCCATCCCCAGCGGCGTGGCCTGGGCCCCACTGGCCGATTTACCCCCCTAGATGGGGATATAGGCCGCTCCCTTCGGGTTTCGAGGGGTGTATTCCCAACTGGGGTGGCAACCTGGTGGGGGTCTCGAAGGGGATGGGGATGGGGATGGGGATCCGTGAAACGATACCGAATAGCAGCGCATGAGCGACGAAAAGAAATGGGTCTTACGCACGAGGACGCAGCGAAACCTTACGCGGCAGCCTGCGCGGCAGCCGCCGGCACGGCGCGCCGCACTGGAGACGAGGCGCGATTACGCGCGACCTCACGCAGACAGCTCGCGCACCCGGGTCGGCGCAGACGACCCCGTTGACTGATACTCTTGCGCTGCTCGCGCGAGCAGCGACGCGAGGCGAGGCCGCGAGCGACCTCGCCGCCGGCAGCAGCGGAGCCGCGCACCGCCGAGGCCACGGCACCCCCGGTGGCGGAGAAGCCACGGGCGCCCGCGCTCCCGGGGCCGCGGTCCCCCGTGCGGCGGAGCAGGGGGCCCGCACCACCGAGGCCGCGGTGCCCCTCGTGAGAGCCTGCAGGTCCGCGGTCGCGAGCGCGCGCGGCCCTCCGAGCCGTCGAGACGAGCTGCGGAGCTGCGATCGACGAGGCCTCGATCCCGTGCTGAAGAGAGAAAGGCCAGCCGCTGCGCGGACCCTGCAGCGTGGAGCGCTCGCACTGCGAGGGTGGCAGGTATAGGGGCGTTGGCCATTAGCAAGCTGTGCTGTGCAAGCTACTTTCACGTAAGCTGCGGTGTCAGCTACGGAGGTAACAGCCATGCGGCCTTGGTAAGTGCTGGAAGTCGTGAGCTGAAGACCCCACTGCTCGCGCAGATATCCTACCCTCCCACCCGCAAGGTCTCTCGCACAACTCATGCAGCCACGATTACGCATGTTCTTGACACTGGCTGGCGCATCTCCGCGGCCGCGGTGGCGCGCGCAAGCTCGCGCGCAGAGCGGCCAGCTGGTTTGCACAACTGGTGTGGACGGAGCCTCCCAAGGAACCCCCCGAGAGGCCTAAACCCTGTCCAAAGCCTACGGGAAATATATTGATGTGTGTCTGCTCTCTTTTTTCCCTCCCGATGGGCCCTTGAGGCCTCAAGATGACTCCAAGATGGCCCAAGAGAGCCCCAAGAGGCAAAAGAGCGCCCAAGGGGGTCCCGAGAGGTATCTTTCTGCGGCGCAATTGGTTACCCCCCCTTTGATCGATGGCCTCCAGGATGGCGCCAAAAGCGCCCCCAAGACCCCCAAGTGGGCAACAAGAAGGGCCCAAAAGAGCACCAACGGCCTCCACCATTGCCCATATAGGTGTCCAAAATGGCCCCACGAGTCCCACTACCCCCAACACGCTTCCAAAGCCATTGATGGTTAGCTCCTGTTGTCGTCGTCATGTCGTCGTCGTCGTCGTCGTCGTCGTCTGCTTCTTCCTCCCCCTATCGTCTTCTTCTTATTATCTGTCCTCCTCCTCCTTCTCTTCCTCCTCCTCCTCCTCCTCCTCCTCCTCCTTCTCCTCCTCCTCCTCCACCCGCCTCCTTCTCCTCCTCCTCCGCCTCCTCCGCCTCCTCCTCCTCCTCCGCCTCCGCCTCCGCCTCCGCCTCCGCCTCCTCCGCCTCCTCCTCCTCCTCCTCCTCCTCCTCCGTAGCCATTTTGGCTCAAGGCCAAGATGGTGTTTCGACGACTGCCTTCGCGGGGTAGGCTCCCTCAGTTCCCAATGTTTCTCGTGCTTGCAGCAACCACCAGGGGCGTGCTGCCGTCCACCTCCAGATTCGCAGCTACCCATAGGGGCGAGCTGCCGCCCAGTCTTCCCGCCTGATGCCTCGGTGTTGGTCTGGAAGCGAGATGGTTCCCAAACCTCACGGACACCGATCGCCTGGCCCTCGGTCCCCTCAGCATCGAGCTCCCCGGGCCGAGTACGCATACGAGTACACGATATGCAAGCAGTGCCGACACCGTTGGAAATGGAAGGGCAGAGGTGAGTGCCTCGCCTGCGGCAAGCCCTTCGCCCCATCGCCAGCGGAGCACTGGCAGCCCGAAGGTGCGTGGGCGGCCGAGCCATGGCGTACCCGTTCGCCACCGGCAAAGAAGGAACTGGCCCCCAAGCCCCCGTCGAAGGACAGCATCCTCGACGCCCTCACATCGCTCCTCGCGGAGGACGAGAAGCATAAAGAGCTGGTCGGCCAACTCAAGCAAGCACTTCAAGAACCTGAGCAGCCTCCACCTGCGCGCACGGCAAAGCAGGCGCTCCAGTCGGCCCTCTCCGTCTTCACGGACCGCGAGCGCAAGTTCCAGCAGACCGTGGGCCACGTCGAGGAGGCGCAGCGGTGGCTCGACACCGCAAAGGAGCGCCAGGAGCAAGCTGCTCTCGAGCTGGTCAAGGCCAAGCGCGAATGCGAGCAGGCGCAGGAGGAACAACGCCGCAAGCTGGGAGGAGATGCAGCGCCTCGCGAACCGCAGCCAGCCACCGAGCTCTTCCGCATCGACACCTCGATCTGGGACGACCTTGGCAAGTACGACGCCACCAGGATCCAGATGGAGCAGTGGAAGAAGGACCTGGACGACCGCATCAGGGCCCTCAACGAAGGCCAGGACTACGTTCGCGACATCATCCGCAAGGCCAAGGAGTCCTCCGAGAACCCCGCCAAGCGCAAGCGGTGCGCTGAGCAAGAGCCCGAAGGACCTCCCGCTCCTCAGCAGCAGAGCCGCTGGCGCAGCCCCCTCCGCCACTCCTGGCGAAGCCGCTGCCCCGCTGCAGGAGCGCCTGGCGCCAGCTCTGGGTCCAGCATACCTGGAGAACCAGCCGCCGAGCCCACAGTCGCGGAGCCTTCCACCGCCGATCGCGAAGCTGCTGCCGCCCTCATCGCGGACTCGGTCGCCAAGGCCAAGCAGGTGGCCACCGTGGCGGCCAAGGGCAAGGGCAAGGCCGCTGGCGCAGACGCACCCGCGGGCTTGCAATGCGAGTAGCCCCGCTAGGCCAGGGGGGGCAGCCAAGGATCGCGCAGAGGACTCCACCAACAAGGCGCAGATCCTCTTCGGCAACATTACGGAGTGGGGCCCGTAGGCGGCGAACTACTGTCGCACCATCTGCTTCCAGTACCACAGTATCGCGCTCGCAGAGATGCATGTGGATGTCGAGCAAGGGTCTCAGCGAGCTCCACGGGAGGCTCGCCCTGGACGGATGGAGGCCAGCTGCTATCCCCAGCCCTGCCCACGCCTGAATCCGGCAAGGGCACCCACGGTGGCGAGTGGCTACTCGCCAGGCGCGGCGTGGCGACCACTGCCTCCGAGGGCTACGGGGAGCACACCCTCACGACCCATAAGCGCCAGCCCCTCGTGGGTTTCTCCCCCTGCCATCCTGCACACCGAGAGCGGCAGCGTCGTCATCGTTGCCGCCGACCTGCGGCCCGGCATCCGTGGCAAGGGGGCCAACAGGGGCATCCTCATGTCGATCCCCACGTTCGTGGACATGCTCGCCGACCCCTGGATCATCCTGGCCGACTGGAACTACGAGCCGACATGGTGGACCGACAGGCCGTGGCTTACCCGCTGGAACGGCACGGTAGTCACCGACCCCTCCTGCACGGCCACGTGAGTCAAGGGCAAGGGCTCTGTCTACGACTACGCGATCGTCAGGAGTGGCATCGCCACCCACATCACAGTCCAGGCCGTATTAGACGTGCCGTGGAAGACCCACCACGGCATCCAGGTCACCGTCGGGACTGCGGCCTCCTGCTCCTCCTGCTCCTCCTCCTCATCCTCCTCCTCCTCCTCCTCCTCCTCCTCCTCCTCCTCCTCGACCCGCCTCCTTCTCCTCCTCCTCCTCCTCAACCCGCCTCCTCCTCCTCCTCCTCCTCCTGCTCCTCCTCCTCCTCAAACCGCCGCCTCCTC